TTAAGAGGCGTGCCTTAGACACTTTCTATTAAGTGGTTGGCTCACCCCATTATTATTATCATCAGTTTTTAGGAGTCGGAAAAGATGTGGCGGTCGACGCAGCCTTATCCACCTGCATTTGTAAGTCTTTTGTAATGTTACTAGTATAGTGTACTATAAACCTTGGGATGACGTATATATAAATTGTATTGACATTGGATAGGGCTTTAATGCCTTTAGATGACCTCGGGTTTGGGTCGTTACACTAACTTTAACCTAGAGGGAGCACGTGCCGGTTATAGGATGCATAACGTTGATTATTAGGCCCCAAATGGTTGTCGGTTTAGAGGCCAGGAAAAGCTAATCAATCTTGCCCTCAGTAAAGTCGATTAGTGGTTTTCAGTATGAGTTAGGGTCGGTTGAGACTAAGGACGGGGACGGTTAGGCATTGCATTACATTTCGATGCAAAATTATGATAAGTTGTATGAATTCCATTGATGGGATTGATTCATGATTTAAATGTTATAAATTTCCCAAAGTATGATCCCGGTTTCCTTTTAGTCTTATTGTATGTTGTGTGGCTCAAGGGAGTTCAAAATTGGCGCCATAAGCATTTTCTACTGAGCCTCCATACTCACCCCTTCTTTTAATATTTTTCAGGTCACGGCAAATATGTGGTTGATGACGGACCTTCACAAATGTAGTTGATTTTATTAGATTCATCTTTTGTAAATTTTTGAAATAATGCTAGTGATATTGAACATTTTTGTAAAATGTCTATAGTTCGGTTATTTTTGTGTAAACATTGTAATTATGGCCTTAAGGGCCTTAACCGTGTAACTGTAACCTTTTTGAACTACTTTTTATATAATATTTGGGCATGTAAGTAATGAAAGGATAGTAATGTTCATTCTTGTCAATTATATAAGATTTGGGATGTTTTGAGGCTAATGATGTATGATGTCGTTGATTATTTTATTATTCGCATATGTGAGTTGGGATAGGTATTTCATAGTCTAAATGATCAAAGCATAACTCGGGATTAAGTGCCAAGCCAAGGGGTTAAGAAAACTATATTTTTGGAGCCAAAAGTATTGTTCACCAGTGAGTTGGTGAATCAATGATAAGTAGCCAGAGTCATGCCGCATGCTGGGGTGCTCATCTTGCACGTGCAGAGGTGTCTAGGGTGCCAGACGACTGGTATCTATAAGCTACGACCGGTTGTCACTCCGAGACTTAGCCAAAATTTTCTTCTTTCCTTACATTCCCAAATCCAAACTTTGGCAAACCATCACTCTCTCGTTTCAAAAGCAAATGGGGTTGTTCTTGAGTCTAGGTTGCACATTTTTTAATCATCTTTCTATGGCATGGGTCTCATTCCATAATTCCAACCTTGAATTGACCATTTTACCCTTGTGAACCTTAGGGTCCCAGAGTGGACCCGAAGCTAAGGTTATCTTACAATTTATGATCCGAAGTGGTTAGAAATGACTAATGTGCCCTTATTGTATAACGACCCAAATCGATAGATCCGAACTGCTGACCGAATCCCAACCTGACCCGAGGGCACTAAGGGTAATATGGTCATTATGCACCTCACTATGTGGTAGGAGTCATAATAATGGCATATCAATCGTTTTTAACTAAATTGGATCCTGGAAGAATGATAACTTCGACTTCGGGCTCACTATAGGACCCTAAAGTTGATTAGGGTAAAATGGTTATTTCGTGTCAAAATTATGGATTGAGATATATACAACTAGAAAGATGACTAAAAAATATGAAATATGGACTCAAGAACGACCCCATTTGGGTTTAAAATGAAGAAGTTATAGGCGGTCGAAGTTTGGGTTAACATATGTATAGAAAACATACGCATTTATGCTCGAGCACAGTCCCTGAGCTCGAGGATAAACCTTTGTGCTTGAGCTCTGTGACCAAAAATAAAAATTATCGAAAGCTACTTTCGGTATCTCACCAAATCCACTCCAGTGCTTGAGCACAAACCTTTGTACTCGAGCTCTGGACCCCAATGCTCGTTTTTGGCAAAATGCTCTCTGTTTAGGTCCAGTACTCGAGCTCTAGACCTTAGTGCTCAAGCACTGACCCTAAAATATGGTCTTTTTCATCTCTAAAAGGTATAGTTTGGTTCCTTTATGAAATAATGGTCCATGGACACTTCAATGTGGTTCAAAACATCCCAAAAATAACCTTAATTATACATACAATTAGTATAATGACCTTAACACATCTTCATGGACACATGAACTTAGAAAAATACATTCTTTGGCATATATGGCTAGTTAATCATTCATGATCTATACAACTCATTATATTGATGTCCAAAATATATATCATGGTCCCAACAAAATATGATTACAAAATACAGCCTCTTCGACCACTGTTACAATGCTAATATTGTATAAAATTGTCAATCAATTATATGCCACCATCATTCATACAAGCATTGATACAAAAGTGACAAAAAAAAAAAAAAAAAAAAAATGAATTTATTTGTTTTTTAACTTCAACTACATTGTGTGATGGTGCATCGTTTGCGATATCCTTGCCATGTCCTGCAAAATACAAGAAGGGGTGAGCACGAAGGCTCAGTGGGGCCTAAGGCATCAACTTTGGACTCCCTTGAATCAAACAACACATAAAAGGGTTTAAAAGATATCGGGATCATACATTGGGGATTTTATGAAATCCAAATCACAATTTAACTATAACAATGTCACTTACACAATTAATAACGAATATGCATAAAAATGCAATGGAATGCACAACTGTCCCAACCTTAGTCCCAAACCGACCCAACTCATACCGAAAGCCGCTAATTTATTTTACCGAGGTGAGATTGCTTAACTATCCCTGACTTCAAATCCGACAACCATTTAGGGCCTAGTTAAAACAATGTTACACGTCGAAATCCGGCACGCACTCTCTCTAGGTCAAATTAGCACCGAACGAGCGAAATCCTGTTCTACCTTAACTTATTTGACATTCCCATGCAACATTTTCACAAAAAGACTCAATTACCTGGCCAAGACCTCTAATAATTATATAAATAAAAGACCAAAGTATCCAAGGTCGGTTAACTCATTGTAACGACCCACTCCACCACATAATATGATATTGTTCGCTTTGAACTTGAGCATGTACGGTTTTGCTCTTAGACTTTACTCCAAAAGACCTCATACCAATTGGAAATAATATTACCACATATAAGCATTTCACCTTTCTCTTATCCAGCCTATGTGGGATTATGTACCCGTAATTCGCCTAGTGTAGTAACTTGCCAGTACCTCGCACCCGTCCATAAGGTCGCCACACTCAGCATCTTGAATGCAATCATTAAATTTAGTAATACCCGAATTCCACCATCAAGCACGACCCAATGGGAGTGACTAACCATTGGAGCATGAGAAACAAGGCCAGGCCGAAGTCTTATTCTTTGAATAGCTGTATTATAAGCATAAATAACAGAGACAGTAAAGTAGTTATGCTTCTCAATTGTCGTGACACTGCAATAGACCACCTGGGCACTAGCAGAAATTTTATGGACTTTAAGAACATTAGGGTTAAACTGAACCCATATTCTTCTAAGGACAGAGAAGGAATATTTGTGGATAATATGCCAAGATGGAGCAATTAATCTTCCTAAGAACGTAATCAATATTAACTTCCTGTACCTTAGTTTCCAAACTAGCAATAAACTGTAAGAAATTATTGGATATAAGCAACCTTATTTCCTTTGTTTCTCATAGAAATTGAGACCCTTATGTTCATTAAGAGAGTAGCTTCACCACCATTCCAGTGGTAAAATCTCGACATTGTTCAATAACCCCTACTAAATTAAATTCCATGCTCCATCAAAGACATATATATATATATAATCTCTTATAAATTTAAAATCAATTTTATTTTGATTTTTTGAAAAAATTTAAAAAAGGTGAATCTCTCTCAACATGGACATGCGTTTTGAGTTCTCAACGACTATAAAACAACATTTTGGGAAAAAAAAAAAATAGAAAAAAAAAAAATGCAGTTCCATGGTACTGTCATATATACCATTTAATGTATGGCGATCAGATTAAATAATCTCTGTTCTTCAAAGGGTGTAAATTCAAACACGACCACCGAAATCAAAACATAAACAAAAATATACGACATAGTTTCATGTACACGGCTGGCTCTTGATTATGTGTTGATTAAGGATACAAAATGATCCATTACACTTGTGGAGATAGATGGTTGCACAGTTCTTGTTCAGTTTGAGAGAGAGATTTGACAGTGGAGAGAGGTGATTTCTAGGGTTGCCTCTCACTGATCTTTTGTTTGGCGAGGCCCGTGTGGGAGAAATGCGTTTGATAAGTGGTACCGTCAAGACTAAATCACTGATCTTTTGTTTTGCAAATCAATTCCATCTTGATGTTGCGCTTGAGAGCACCAAATCAATTCCAATTTTAAGATTCATGCAACCAAACATAACTTTGAGAACCTAGAAAACCAAATACAATTCATGCAAACAGTGTTCCCTGGTGATGCTAGAAGCATTAATTCATCATAAAAATTTATAGTATTCCCAAATTGCCCAACCTTTTTGCTTTTTATATGCACATTGCACATGCCCCTCTGCTTTTTCAGAACCAAACCCTAAGTTCAATACTACTGGGTTCAAGTCGAATTTAATTCAAGACTCAACCAAAAGAAGTCATAAAAAAATTGAACTCAAATGATTTGATATGGCCCTAATTTTATTTATTTATTTATTTTAATCAAATTACTATTTATCTAATCAATAAATCCAATATTATATAAATGTTCCCCAAAATCTCAACCTCCTTGCCCATAAAGCTGTTAATTCAATTTTTTGTGACACAAGTTTTTTTTTTTTTCTATCCCAAAATAATATCAGAAAATTGAATAAATGCTTCTAAAATTTTCCATCAATGTGAGAAATATTGATGAAAAAAAAAAAAAAATCCATTATTAAGAAACATTATCCCCTTGTGTATCAGATGTAAAAATAACTTTTCCTTGAAATTTCATTTAATTAAATTATTCCAAGAGATCAATATATGGATCTGGTACTTATATAATCTTACCCATTCATGGATCAAGTAAAATTGACTTCATCAATTACATATCCCACAACATGTTTGATGACAACAAGAAAGGACTCTTCAATCAAGAAGGATGAACCTTTTTAGAATGAGCAGAGAGTCCCTTCCAAGCCGATTTCATGGATGCACCAGCAGAATTGAGTGCAGCCTCAATATACTTCTTGGAAGCAATGGTGGCTGCGTTTTCCATCGACTTCCCCATCCTCCTCGCCCTCTCTGCAACCTGAACCAACCCGTGCAGCTCAGCCATGGACGCGCGCTCCATCTCCTCCTCGAATCGTCGGAACTCTTCCATGGCGCTTTCCATGACTGAGTCGAGGTGGTCCTCGGCTTCTCTCATGGAGTCCTCTGCTTCCTCGACTTCTTGTTCCTGTTCGAGCTCTGCTGCTGCCCACTGCTTGTACGCCTCCAATTCGAAGAGCTTCATGAGGTCATCGATGGTGGAGGGATCGAAGGCCTTGTCTTGGAGTGCCTCGTTTGAGAGGAAGGTGAAGTGGTAGAGAAGATCTTCCATTTTTTTTTTTTTTTTCTAGTGGTGGGTGGGAAGTGATGCTTTTGTTCTGTGTTTGGTGCTCTCTGCAGAAATGGGAGGAAAAGGAGTGGCTAGTGGTATGAGAATCATATAAAGAGGGGTATTTGCATAATTATTTGTAACTTTAAAAAGAAAATGAATTTAGAAACGAGACATAACACTGTGTGAGATCGAATAATGATAATCAACTATTTTAGACAAATGGAAATAATGTCATCATTTATTTACATTAATTTAGTTGTATATGTCTGTATTATTATTGTGATAAGATTATGAAAATTGTTATCAGTTACTCTTTTTGTGTTCATATGAAATTATTGAGATCCGAGTCTAAAGAATTGAAAGAGAATTATATGAAATTATACAATCAAAATTTTGTATTAATTTTTTTTTTTTTTTGAATAGATCACATGAGTAAGTCAAACTTTTGTAGTTTTTTCAATTGTCTTCATTTGTCTAAATTAGACAATCATGTTTTTACCATCTCTTATAATTTTATTGTATAATATTTTATAGTGACACCACCATTTTAGTCACTTGTGTATTATTATTATTATTATTTTGAAAATGAACCAATTTAAAAAAGAAAATTCATGTACAACTATCATGAATTGGGTGAAATGATAGCATTAATATATATGTGTGTGTGTGTTTGTGTGTGTGCGTGTTTAAGTTTCACTATGGAAAGTTTTGGCAACGGTTGAATTTGATCCAACTTTATTCGAGTAGGAATTTTGTGCTCAAAATGAAGGAACCTTTTATTTATTTTTCTAAGAGGGTGGGGAATGAGATGGGGATGGCTTATCTTCATGCATAGTTAGGAATCTAGAGTGGGCCCGTGAGTGTTGCGTTTGTCAAGCACCAGCTTTTTGAATTGTATCGTAAAGTGGCCTTTGCATATGCTTCTTTTATTAATTCAATTGTAAATTTGTAATATATATATATATATATATATATATATATATAATCATATGGTTTTCGGTGACAGGCCAGTTTCACGAAATAGGTTTTGGTTGGTGACCCACCATGAAACTACCGTTGGGCTAGAGTCCAACAAATGCGAAACCAGTAAATGTTGCATTTAAGATAGTCGTTGAGTGGTTGGTGTTTACAATTGAACCAGAGTGACCCAACCAAACCATTCATGTCATAGTCATAACTAATAACCATTTTTAATTTGATATTTTCTAATTACCAACCTTGTACCGGCGAGGGACAACTAATGGAGAATTTTGCTTTGGATGTTTTTTCTACTTTCGGTAGTAGATTGGAAATATATGCTTTGATTATTTTTATGTTGTCCAATTTTTTTTTTTTTAATTTTCTTTTCCAGGCCAGACGAATATATTTAATTTGGGTCAGATCCAGGTAAAATCCAATTTATTTAATATTTTTTTTTCCAATTTATTTTAACATTACACAAATTCAAATCTCATGTTTTTGTAGTGAATTTTCAATTAAGATTCATATTTGATTCGTTTTTATAATATACTTGGTCGAGGAGTTAGGTAGAATCATATTATTTGATTAGTAATTAATGCAACACATAAGAAAGTAGGAGGGTTCACTTTCTTATATTTGGTATGGCGGCATGCATTAACCAATTAAAAGTATTGGGTTAAAGAATTCTGTCCAACTTCTCAGACTTTAAAATCATTTTCTTTTTACAATTCAAATTCAAAATTAAAATCCAAACTTGTCGAAATTGGACTTTGGATTGTACAAGAAATTGGGTCAAACCCATTCATTTCAAGCCCTACCCCACCCCACGGTTAAAGTGAACTTATTAGATGGTTTTGGTCCATTTGACATTTAATAAACTAATCTAATGAAAATTAATATTGAGATTTCTTTATAATAGATAGATTAAAACAATACACTTTTGTGAGACAATTTTCTCAATCGAATAGTTTGAATTTAACTACTCCACCAAGCATCAATGGTCCAGAATTATCTAACAATTTTTAATGATTAAGTCCAAAATCGATGAAAATAAATAAATAAAAAATCTATTCTCTTCAACAACATCAAAATAAAAAATAAACCCCTCTTCTCATTAGACAATTTAAAAAAAAAAAAAAAAAAAAATAGAGTATGCATATCCAAAGTCAATAAAATTGTACAAAAACTACCAAAAAAATAAAAAAAAAAAGGAATCATTTTATCTGTTACTCTCCATCCCCTTCCATTGGAGAAAATATACAATGTACCCTATGCACCGGGCACATCGTAACCATTTGTGTTGTACACGTACACAGTTACGATATACCGTGCACGGGGCACATTGTATATTTTCTTCTTCCATTGGATTTCTCCCATTCATTTCCTTTCTTTCTCTTTTTTTTTTTTTTTTTTTTTTTTTTTTTTTTTTTTTTTTTTTAACAATGTGACATATAAAATCATTCCTTGTAGGGCCACGGATCGAATCGAATCGGATTAAACATAAATTCTAATCTGATCCACTCGCAACGGATTGGGAGATTTTGAATCCGCCATCAATTCGTTAACCCTCAGATCGGATCAAATTCATGAAATAACGGATCGAATCGGATCTAATCTGCATATTTAATTTTCCAAAATATTCCATTTTCATTTTTCAAGATTGTATCAAGATTTCCCACCAACATACCATGCGCCACCAATTACATCCATTAACGGTTCAAACTCTGTTGCCACACGGAGCTTTCTCCCCTTGCTTTGGATGTTCACCACCTCTTTTGTCAGCTTCAGGGTAAGGAGTAACTTCACCACTTTATCAACCTCTTTATTAGGGAGATTTGTTTCTCATTTCAAGTCTCCTTTCCAGATTCCCATATCTTCTTTACCTTTGATCAGATTTAATATTTTACCCTCAGGTGTTTTAGCAGAACTTGAGTCTTCTCTTTTCCTTTTAACGGCTGCTTGTGATCAGCTCATTTTTACTATTATATATATATATATATATTCTACGAATTGTTCACGGATTAGCTACGGATCAGATCTACGGATCGAATCGGATTTTTGACAGACTAATCCATGATCTGATCCGTAAGTTACGGATTCAAAATTTTTGAAGCCGCCAATTCGTGGGTTTAACAATTCGATCCGACCCATAGAATTGGATCGGATTGGATTCACCGATTAGTGAATTTTTGCCCAACCCTAATTCCTTGGGCCTATATGAGCCAATTATTCGTAACTTATATTTTGTGGGCCTATTGGGCCTATCTCTAAGTATATAAAACTTGCTTAAACTTCCAAAAATAAAAAATAAAAATGTGACCCATAAAACTGAATAATCTCAGGGCTGACCAAGCACATACTGCCCAAAACAAATGAGGCCCACATTCATGAATTCAGAGCTGGCCCTAAATCACTTGCCATAATCAGACTCATTGCAGTTACGTTGAATTATTTATTATTCCAAGAAAAATGAGATGTCAATCCTGCAACAAAACACACTACTTGAGAGTACAGAGATTCGAGAGAGAGAGAGAGAGAGAGAGAGAGAGAGAGAGAGGGGGTTCAAAATCAAAGATCAAAGAGAGAGATATATATATATATATATATATATATATAGAGAGAGAGAGAGAGAGAGAGAGAGAGAGAGATTTTTGTAGAGAGAATGGGGGAGAGTGGCAATTTGCGCACTAGGGTGGTGTTGACGTTGTTGATGCTGTGCTTGACGAGTTATCTTATGCCGGTGGGTCAGGCGATATGGTTGAATTTGCCGCCGACGGGGACCAAGTGCGTGTCCGAGGAAATCCACAACAACGTTGTCGTTTTGGCCGATTACGTCGTCATTTCCGAGGATCACACCCGCGCCACCCCCACCATCTCCATCAAGGTAAACCACGTTTGCCCCTCTCCACTTTCAGTTTTATTCATCTAATTTTTCATTAATTAGAATTGGGAATTTTTATTTTTATTTTTTATTGATAAGTATTTATTAGAATAGGGTTCTGGTTTGATGTTTATATCATTTTATTATGTTTTGTTTGTGTATATGTGTACTGCAATTGATCAATGATTGCTTGAGATTGGCACAAAGTATTTGATATGTTTCACAGTGATTGAAATTAGTGTGCTTTTTCAGATTGGCATCGATTTTAGGTGATGGTTTGAGAAATGATTATGTTGATCTAGGTTTTTGAAGGTGCTAGGTTGGGTTAAAATATGGAACCTAATGAAACAAGTTCAATTTTTTTAAGACATTTTTGAATTAAAGACATTTTCTCTGTATTAGTCTATGAATAAATAGGGTGTTAATCGAGGGTACTGGGTGCGGTAGACTGGATAAGCTTAGGCATTAATATCCACAAACTGATGCTTAGGACATTTTAATGTCCTAAAAAGAATTCTTGATAGCAGTAACGTTGGATTGAAATGGAATACCAGTGGCTAATAAACTTTTATTTTTTGGTAAGTATACCAGTGGGTAATAAGCTTGTCAATAACTTGATTTTATACCTAGTTCAATGACAACAGTCATTCTCAAAAAAAAAAATTTAATAATAAATAGAGAGAGAAGTTGCAAAGACTTATTTTTGGGATTTCAGTTGCGTAAACAATGGATATACCATCTTTAAGAATTGCAGGGTTCTGACTACATAACTCGTTTTTCTTTTTAAATATATATCCTACTTCTCACAACCCTGTCTGTTATGGTATCCTCTTGGGTGAGCTTTTTATCCATTGCCTTTAGGGTTATTCTCATGGATCATGTGTTTTATTTTGCTAAAACTTTTTTTCAAAGGATCAAAATGTCCTCGTGGAAACTCACAAAGTCAATAGGGATTGTAATATTAATATGAATGTCCAACAAGATCTATTATGTTATGGACTTATGGTTACTAGTGCATCTACACGGTAGCTTTACTAGATCTTTATTGAGTCAAATATTCTGAGTTTTATATCATTTGCTGCCAACTATAAGCTTACTGTAACTTGGTCATGTGTGCCGTGTCCAAACTCTGAAGAGTGTATATAATTTCAGCCTTTTATATTAGTTGGAATTATTGAGGCTGCTTGCAGACATTCGTTGCCTTACTAACTTGTAGTTCCATTGTTCTTTGAAAGGTTGAGTTTAGTTTGTTGAATTGTGTTCTATCTATTATGATTAAGGTCTTTGTGAGGAGTCCCTTCTTGCTTTTGTATCATCATGGTGAAAAGGTTTGAATTTGGTAAGAGGGTGTGAAGGTTTGAATTCAAGGTTCACTCACATTTTACTTTAGTACATAAATGCAAATGTTTAAAAAGGCACCTGCATCCCACATGGGCTAGGTGCTTTCCAAGTGGTTATGGGCAGTTTTGGGCCGTTGGCTGCAGATGTTGGCCATTCCATCAGACATATATTTACATGGTTTTCCAGACAACTGTTTAGGCATGTGTGGAAGCTTTAAACAACCAAGCTAGCGTAGTTGTGGGGAGAATTGCACTAGACCCTTGTGCAAGATGCAGGGAAGTGCTAACATCACAACAAGGTTTAGTGGCTAGTGTAGTTGCACTAGCACAAACTTAGTAGCGTCAACTGGAAAGATTGTTTGATAGACACTAGGAACACCAACACACTCTAGGGCTTGAATGCTTGATATTCCTAGTATCTTGCAATGTCCCCTGCAGTTGGCCATAATGGTAATTGGGATCTCAGTTAGGTTATTATTGTACGTGGAGATAATGGGAGGTCTTAGGGTGGTGTGGGGCATAATTATAGCGGTTTGGGGGTTGGATGTGAAAAATGGTGTTATTATGGCAATGCAGAATGGTTTTGGTGGTGGTTGATGGAGGGTTTGGTTATAACAGTAATTGGTGGTGAGAGACAAAGAGAAGGTGGTCGAATTATGTAGTTGGAGGAATAAGTAAGAGATGTGGAAATGGTCTTGTTTAAACCAAAGAAGAATACTTCCAGTAAGGAGGAACTTCTTTCTGATAGCTAACTTGGCATGATATGATTGGATAATATTAGTACATTTGGTATCAATTTGTCCTACTCCTACCTAAAAAATAGGTTTATTTTTTACCTTATTTATTTTCAATATTATAAATGGACACACGGTCCAATAATATCATGACTTATCAGCTGTAAGGAGGAGGTTCCTCCTTATGGGCAAGGAGGGAAGTATTGTGCCTAACAAACTGGGTTGACTTTTACATTGCATTATGGGGGAAAATCATAAAAGAAATGCTCCATTACAACACTACTCTAACCAAGAAGCCTTTCTTGCACCAAATGGAATGGATTGAAAAAATAATGGTGGTCTTCTATATGCCTGGATAACATCTAAGAAACAGCCTGTCTAATATCGTCTCCGAAAGCTTTGGCTGCCACGTACCAACAACTCTGATTGCATTATAAACTGCCAACCCCATGAAAGAGCTTAACTAATAACACACTGGTGGCTAAGAGCCTTCCCTGACTCTATAACATTCAATTATAGCCACCTTTTCAAGTATAGTTCAAGGAATATAGTAAATTGTTCATTTTAAAGAGTCATCCTTCCTCCCTACAACTAATATGAATAATTGTGATGAAACTTATTTAAAGGCACAATAGTAGCCAACCTTTATGAAGGAAAAAGCACAACATTATTGCAGCCTCTAAGATGGACAGCGGTGGCCAAACACACACTATAATGCATGCCTTGCACATGAACTTGGCCCAGATTCTGATGCACCCAAAGATAAATGGATTTGTAACTGAGAAGGCAAAATGCCTTTCCCTCAAATGGTGCTGAGGCCTGTAACTACCCCGCCTTTTCAATGTAACCGATGAAATAATCATTGAAGTGTCTCCTTCAACCAAGAGCACTCAAACTTTACCATCTTCTCTCTCTCTCTCTCTCTCTTTTCTTTTATAATTTTTCTTTCTATAATAAATATCTTTCATTATTAGTTGCTCCTTGGTTACCTAAGAATCTGTGGCAAAATTAGATATGGTCATTCTATAAGATGCAGTTTTCACACATGGGTTGCGCATGGCAAGAAGGGTTAGAATAATAAACAGCATTCAAAATTCAATTACCTGATGGTGAAAGAGATTGGGATTATTTGAGACTCCTCTATTAGAAAAACCTTTAAAGAAACCCTAACATGGATTGTATTTCATTTTTGAACAGTCTAAATGCACCAAATCACAGCCTAAGTGCCGCATTTCTCAAGCTCAAAAAGAGTTACACCTAAATCCTTGGAAATTCGTAAAGGATTTTATCGAGAAAAAAAAGACAAGTTTAAGGGGGCATATGACATCCTAATAATGCAATTCTATACAAAGAGTCAATCTGCATATTGTATAGGACTAGTGGACTTATTAAATAAATAAATGAATGAATGACTAAAGTAGAGTTAATTGTCTTACAAAGTTTGGGGTTGCTATCCCCTTGATATACTTCATGGAAAATTAAATGCGTACCAGTTGTGGCTTTGGGTCTGCTTCCAGTTCTGTTTTCTGTAGGTGTGGCAAAATTACCCAAACCCGCCCTCTAATTAATGATTTTTGGCTGAGTGATTTAAATTAGCGGGTTACAACCGGGTTAGTTGACAAACAGTGGTGTAATTAGCGGGTTGAGAGTGGGTACCCACTTTCAACCCACCCAAAAATAACTTCGTTTTTGTTTTTTTTTTAAAGCTCATCCAAACATAACTGCAACACAAGCCTAGCTGTCACCGTACCTTATGACTGTTGGGTCCTTATCTTTGGCTAGTTTGGTATTCAGTGGGTCATGCTTCGGTCTTCAAGAGGCTTGATTGATGCTTGGAGAGGGTGTCACGTGGGTTCCCATGCTCATGGTTTTTGGAGGGTGGCGCCTTTTTGCGTTTGGCGGTGCTTATGGAAGGAGCAGAATAGAAGATCTTTTGAGGGAGAGGAATCTCCTATTGGGACTGTTAAGTTTCTTTTATTATTAGCTCTCTTTTTAGTTGGGTTATGGGGAAAAATTGTAAATCTATAGAAGAGACGGTTGATTTTTTGGGTTCTTTGAGTCCATAGCGTCCCTTTTGGCGTTGGCCTTTGTGTATCTTTTGGGTTGCATTAGCAGCCACCCAAATAGACTGTGATTCTCTCCCTTCTTTGCTTTCTCTCTCTTTTTCTCTTGTTTGATCTCTCAAACTTACGAATACAAACACTAGCCACCCAAATTCAAAATTATAAAGGAGTTAAATTAGCCACCTCTTATTTTGTGAACACAACGCCGAATTACAGCCCTGGTTTTCGAATTTAGAGAGAGAAATGGTACAAACCCCACTTCTGACAATAATAAAGAAGGAAATAAAAATTATAGAGAGAAATAGGATGGGTTTGATTGGAAGATGCCAGAGAGAGAGAGAGAAAGACATCTACAACTTTGGTTTTGTTATTAGTACAGCTCGAAACTTTATACAAAATTTCAGAGAGGGAGAGAGAGAAAGAGGAGGAAGGTTTTAGGAAGAGTTCATTAATGGTGGGTCTCTCTCTCTCTCTCTCTCTCTCTCTTGCTAGAGTTTTAATGCTGTCAATTATCTTTTTTTTCTTCTTCTTCTATCTGTTCGCTATAAAAAGGGCTAGCAAAACCCAGATTAATTTTGACATCGGAAAGTTTATATACATCCTTGTAGCTCTCTCAATTTTCCTCGCAAGACTCAATGAACTATGAAAATGTTGAATTTGTTGGCACTAAGATACTAAGTGGAATAGCATATAGATTTAGTCTTTTTGCACTGAAAATCTTGTTTTGTTTGGGTGTATTTTATATGTTGAGTTGTATTTATTATTATAGACTTTTATGTGTTTGTTTAATATTTATTGATATACATGTTATATATTCAACATGTTTTTGGATCAAAATTAACTAATCTATACCAACAAGCCAGTGG